TTAATCAACTAGTATCAAGACTGTCGAATCCTAGTAACGAACAAACAGAAGCGGTCGATACAAAAGGACTTAACATATTTTTTCTTCATATTTTATTATGAACTTCTGTTCAACATCCAGATGTTTAAGTCTGATCAAACAAAAGATTTTTCAGATGTACTCATGTACCGTCAGAATGTAACTATTACGTTCTTGATTTACGGGTAACTGTTGTTTACTTTAAAATTTCCAGTGCTGTTATGAAATTCCAATATATCCTCAAATATCAATCTGTTTCCTATCCGTGTGTGTATAATGGTGGTCCAAAACTATTTTTAAATACATGTTAATAGCGATCGTCGACCATGTGAGGTCTTTAAGATGACACCATAATAGTTTTATAACCAATTTCAGTGTCCGCGTTAACCATATATGCAAGTAAAATTTTAACTATTATACGCCTTCGATACGGATCCATAGTATTAATACTATTTGTGAATTTCTAACCAATGTATGTATGTATATGTAATATGTGTACATTTACAATATAGGTACCATATATTACCTGTACTGAGCAATATTACAAAAATTATCTACTGAAATATAAAATACTTTTTAACCATAGTCTGTTGTGGCAACTAATACAGAGGAACAATTATTATATTGGTGTAAGAAGGAAAATTGTAAATAAAATCCTATATCTAGTACTATTTGTTCTTGATGAATATTACAAATATTAAAATCACTCATTTGCATTCCGAATTATATTTCATTTGTGTAAATTGTCAAAATAACATTTTATATATATATATAGGTATATAGACGACTCACACTTGGCCGAGTTTTAATAGTTTATTTCCTAACTGCACGTCGACAGCGCCGATGTTTTTCTAATAACCTGTTTAACAAATCATAACGTTTATTTTCGTTCAGTACTGAACGATCACACGTCCGGGACTCTATTCTGTTTCAAATCTCTGGCCTGTTTGTTTTGATTATTTTAATTTTTCATTGAACATACGTAAATGAAGTTAACACATGAATACATGACGTGATACTATACTACTTATTAAATCATGAAAGAATGGAAACATATCTTTTGTAAACACATTAAATGCCAGTTGATTTAAAAACTATTCTCGCTACAATGCCGAATATGTTTTTATGTTTACAAATAGATTTTAATTACTGCTACATTTATCTTTCAAGTGTCCTTCTAATGGCGGTCGATGAAAACGAACTTTTAAATTTTTTGCTCCTAAACTTTGACTAAGTAGTTAAAAGCCGCCGATGGCATATGTATGACTTGTATGACTCAACATTATTTGTAGCAAATTTTTGATGAAATTAATTTAAAAAGTAACTGTATCTGTTTCTTGCCAGGTAGATCTTTTTTCAATCGACACAAAAGATCGTTTTCAATAAAAAAAATACAAACGGCGGGAACCGGTAGCAAAAATGTTTGATTATTCTTGATGAACCGTGTCAATATAAATAGAATACTATTAAGGTTAAAGAAAACACATATTCATTGGATTGTATTCTTTAAAAGTTTTACTCATGCCTGGGTCCGAAATTTAAATTGTTTCACATGGTTTCTTCAGAAAATATATTTTGGCGCCAGCAGCAAAAAATAATGCCAATTTAAAGAAACTATCTAATCATCGTATCCCAATCACAAGTTGATATTAATATAAAGTTTCGCGTATTAAAAATGTATAATACATTTTTAGTTTTAGTAGTTTTAGGTTAATATAATTACAACATATTTATTAAATTAATTTAGATACTTATTAGAAAATAACGACTCAGTATTTTCTAATTATTATATAAAATAAATGTAAAGTGAAAGATAAACAGTATAATACGAGTATTATTATATAAGGACTTGATATGTAAGTATTTGCACATAGAATTTTCTTGATGATTGAAATTTATTATTAATTATATATTAAGTATTAATGTATCTATAGGCTTTGACATCATTATCACAAAAAGTATTTATATATTTTTGATACTGGTAATCACTAGATTACCAGTATCAAAAATGATTGACTTGGAATTATATCAATTTCGAGAATTCACAGATTTTATTCTTTATAATCTAAATTTAAATCCTCAGTAATAACGAATACAAAATGTGATTACTTATTTAGCTTTCTTACTGTTATTGAGTTTAATGATATTTTTATTGTATTGAGTAATACGAGGACGTGACGTTGAAAGGCAGCGGTCACCCGTCCAGAAATTGTATAATTTTACGCAACAAAACCATTGTCGAATACAGTTTGTGAATGGACATGCCCGGACCAACGCTCGTCATCAATTTCGAACAAAACATGCCAAACGCATGCATCCATACACCGCCATAGAATCAATTGTAAAGTGTGAAATGAAAAGTGTTACAATCAAAGGAAAAATCATTAACATTGTGACGTCTGTATTTCTATACGAGATAAACGACAAAGGACTCATAACAAAGATATTCCCTGGTTCATATAACTCTGATACACGTACGAGAGGGCTTATGCAAAATTCACAAAGCCGTATTTTCCTTAATGAAATCTTTCGACAGGTAATAGTTAAAAAGGGAATTTCATAGCGGGTCGAGAGAAATGGAATAAAACGATAATATGTCTGGGGCCATAATATTCCGTCTGACAATGGGTACGACAAAGGGAAATTGTAAGATGGCTTCCCGGCGAACACGATAAAGTTACATTGATGGTTTGCTGTTCACTTTTACCTAACTAAATTGTTTGCGAGACATATAAATGCATTGATAAAATTTATCTTTTACATTCCCAATATAAGAAATAATGGCAGACTAAAAATAATAGGTATTATTTAACTTGAGCGGTAATTGAATAAGATAAATGAAATATCCTTTGATAAAGTACACAAAGAAATAATAGAGAAGCCAGTACGTGCAGTATCAAACGGCGTACTTAACGAATTAGAAACAAAACGGATTCGCGGCTCTTTCTGAAGATGACGTCTCTTTCTATTCGTGGCAGTCATCGAGTTTCCTTTGTAATTAAATATTGAAATTAAGAAATGAACAGCCGCTAATTACAAGAGGTTGTCCCTTGGGGGCTGATTATGTTGCCCCAGCATTCGCAGAAAGGGATGTCGGGGACGAAACGGCTCCTGTTACAATTAATATTTAAGATTTTAATGTTACCGTTCGCCCAGTTATACAAAATTTCGTTTGTAATGAAATTTATGAAAAAAATATAACTCTTATTTTATTAAACCAAGTCTACTGTGATTTATATAAAATTATCAGTTGAATTTTATGAAATATTTTGCATATTACAATTATTATTATTATCGAACAATATAAGTAATTTAATACTAGATATAAAGTAAGTATAGTAAGTAGGTATAGTAATATAATAAGAACTATACATACGACATTCATGAGTATATAAAGTATAAACAATAAATCCCATGCTAGGTGCTATTAAAACTCTCCTGCGGTACCCTAAAAATGAAAAGTAGCAAAAACATAAATTTAATGTTTGGACGTTTCAATTATCCGGACCACGTGGCGTGCCAACAATGATGTTCGTGCCAACAGCAATAAAAAATTTAAAAAAAATACGATATAAAATATCGTTGCATCTAACAAAGTTCGATCTAATGAAGATTTTATGTATCTCATTCCATAGGTAATAACGATTTATTATTGTAGATGATTAACAAAACAAAAGTACAGTCACACGCGGAAAAAAGTAAAAGTATACCGCAGGCTATAATAGCTTCATTATGAAACGATCAAATCGCAGATGGAATAGGATCAGATCTTAAATACGTTCGGAATGTCTTTATTAACTGTCATCGAATCAAGAGAAGCACCGGGAGCTGTTTAATACCCTATCAGACAAACGTAATTAGTTTTGTAAATAAAATGCCTCGGAGAAATTGAAACGGCGCAGCTACCTGACCGTTGAGGTGAGGTGACTTGCTACATTACTGTTATCTGGTACGAGTATCGTCCAGTACTAGTAGCGTCACATTTTTATTATAATGCTAGCTGTAATCCGCGGTGCTGCTCGCGTGAATTCGTGCAAAGAGCAATTCTATATAGTAATCCAGCATGTGATCTATTTGTATACCAAATTTTATTCCAATGAATGTAGTAGTTTTGCGTAATAAAATAGCAAACGTTTATCCATCAGCACAAACTTTTGCGTTTATAACATTAGTAGAAATTCTATTCAATTATATATTGAAAGTGCGTAAAATAATAATAATAATAGTAATAATATCTTATAAGGTAGAATAATATTATCGTATCGTATTTATTATATCAGATATGTAACATTTTGATATTACAGGATATCAGGCCTGAACTCTTTGTGCTCTAGAATGGCAACACGAGTATCACATGATAAAGTGATATCCATATTATTATTCAGGTATATAGGCCACAATTACTACTTACATTGTGGTTGGTCTATTTAAATTACAGAAAAAAGAGCTATCCTGTAATTAGAAAATATTAAACCAAATTAAATATATAGGTATATATTATCTAAAGTAATCTATTACTATACATGTAAACTGTTGGAAATACAGTATAACCGTATTAAAATAAACAAACATAAAGTACAAGTTGACACCCTTGGGATTTTTTTATACTCGTAACATCCGGAGAATGAACGTTAGCTTCTTCAACATGAAATAATTGTAAGGTGGAATTACGGACGCTAAACTTTCCACCCCAAACATTTTTTATTTAATTTTTATTTTTACGACACGATTAAACTCGGCTTTGCTTTCACTTTTTATTGTTAATGTCCATGTGCCCTCTAATTTTTGGCTTCAATTATATTTTTCTTCTGTTGTTTTATTAAAACATTGTTTTTAATGTTGGAAAGTTTTTAGATTACTATTTTTTTAATGAGGATCTTCTTATACTTTCGATTGCTTATTGTAATTTTAATTTAGTAGAAATAGTTAATAGTTTCATTATTCGAATAAAGTCAATAATGTTGATCTCTCTTCTTCCTCAGGTACTTCTCAAGGTGAATAGGTATTATGTCTATCCAAGGAAAGAACCCATCTCGCTCCAACCGACACTCGTTTAGAAAAAAACAGACAAACACTTTTTGTGACCGAAATCATTTATCATGTTTGTACTGAACCCAGACAAACTGCTACTGCTTTTGAGTTTACCCTAGATAAGATTAGATGTCTCCTTGTTTAGCGATTCTTGAATTGTTTAAGACAGAGCTTCATTGTTTAGTGTTAGTTGCTAGATAAGTTGATTCCGATATGTATAGTGCTTAAAAGGAAGTAGACTGGTTTAATTTGATATATTTAAACACTAACAGTTACCCGCGACAACACCTGCTTTTTAAGATAAAATGTAGCATATACGTCTTCGTAATACAGTAGATGTTTAGTTATAAAAAATAGGAAATAAACAGACAAACCCTTACAAATTTGTCTTTTTATATAAATATACAAATAGAATATTCAATTTTCATAAATTAAACATTATTAAATAAAAGTGTAAAATTACTAAGAAAGTTATTTTAATTTATGAACTATTTCAGTTCTTTACTTAATAACTACTTGCTACCAACTTATGGTACCTTTATTTTTTCTATTAATGGTATATATAAATAAACAAGGTTGAAGAAGAATATTGTACACTAAAAACTAACTCTCAATCCTAAAAAATCTCCTTGTTAGCATGAGAAAAAGTCTTAAAAGAAAGAAAACCTTGTTGATAGTATTGCATATCTAACAGTTTTGGCGAAGGTAACTCTTAACATGTCATCAAAATACCTTTTATTTGAGTTGCTTGTCTAAATTTTTAATTGAAGTTATCCAGATTGAAACAATACTGTAACCTTTTGCGTCTGTTTTAGGATATACTTATAAGTGATGATTACAACAAGATATTTTTGGATGAATCGGTAAAAAAGAGTTTAATTTAATATGTAAACATTCCCATACGGGTAGTAGTGTAACGTGTAAATAATTGGACGTTCGAGAAACAATAACAAAAAATGACTATTAGCTTACTATAATAGGCTGTCAGCGAGTAGCTTTTGGTCTTTTTACTTTTTAAAAATGCCTTGTAGTCGGGAAAGGATGTTTACATCACGTGAACGTTATGATTTAGTGTCAGTAATTGGTAGTGAGTGTGAACACGTCCACTAAGAGTCGAAGATAGGGATGTGAAAAATTATCGATTATCGAAAACAAAAACGTCTGATGTTAACATTCTTAAAAAATGATTAATTAATAATCCATATTTTACCTAGACAATTTTTATTATTATATTATAATATTATATTGTCTAAAGAACAAGATCTATGTGATCTCATAAAAACAAACCCACGTCAAGAAGTCAAAGAAATTGGGTTGTAGAAAAATAATCGCTTATAGAATCATCAATTATTATTCATTATAAGAATTATTTTCATTTAATAGTATATTTAATCGAATAATTTATAATCGATTTTTTAATCAGAATGTCACATCCCTAGTCAAGGATACAAATATAATAACAAAGACTCGGAATTCTATTCATAGTTCGTAGGTAATGTTGATACTGTTACTGTTTGTGTTGTTAATAGTTGTACGTTGTCTTAAGCTATCTACTCTAGTTTTTTTATGAAGTTCAGTTTATTGAACTGCTTTTTATATTGGTAATATATTTTGACTCCGATATTGTTTTTTACTGTAAAATACTAATCATAAAAACGATCAATAATGTTAAGTAATGCTATTATATAAAATGACTTTAGTGAAGACATCTATTGTTAAGACATTTACTGAGAAAAGTCTATTACTCTCTAAACTTACTTATAAGATAAAAGTGCACGTCGTTAGTTGATTATGCCCAAGGTTCTCAATATTATTTTTTTTAAACATTTTAGATATGTACCTACCTAATAAGTAAAAAAATATTATTTTAATTACAATGATAATGACAAATACATCACGTGATCACGTGATGCCCATGATGGTTATCACTTACCATTAGATGGGCCATTCGCTTTTTACCATTTCAATTAGCTAAAAGGTAAGTTTTCAGGTGTATTTCTTGACAGACCGACTTGCCTGAGATAGCTTTCATAAATAAATGATAGGAAATAAATGTATGTAAAGAATGACTTGTAAAAAAGCCGTGCGGCAAAAATGCTGTATATAAATAAATAATTTCTAATACTACATATAAGATTTATATACGTTTTCAAAAATTCAATATCTACTACTGGGTATATATACCTACATGTAGGTTTCGATCAGGATTAACTTTGTGTGTTTGTCAAACTATCTATCAGGGGTATATCTGTCAGAAATATCTGGGGACTCCTTTGTGGATGGTATTTGATCAGTGACTCGGGCGGTGAGTGATGAATATTGCCACGCAAATATAACAAAAAGCAAAACTATCCGCGGTGTTAGTTTCACTAGGGTTGGTCCGTCGAAAGATTGCGCGGCACAGAAAGGAATGTTCTTTGATGTATAAATGTTTGAAATATCCAACATGATATTTTTCATTTTCTTGTATGTGAAAAACTAACAATAATTATTAGGACACATTTATTAATTACGCAATCCATATTAAGGACAGTTTAGTGTATTTACTTTCGTAAATCTTCATGCCATAAGCTAAAATAAGGACCCTATTTCCTGCAGTGAAATCTTATTAGGTACGGCAAACTTTTAGCTAATCTGCATCCAAACATTTATTATACAAACTTGACACCACGTTGCCAATTTAAAGCTAAAAGTAAAAGTATCTTTATAGCGGAGATTCTGAAGTCACTTATATATGTCATTCGAAGATATCGCCCTTCTGTTGCTTTAATACTCTTCAATACTCGAACAACTGGCATAAATCGTTCGGAAATCGTTCAGTAATAAATCGAATGCTTTTTAATGGCAGTTTATCGCGGTGAGCTTTGCGGTATTCAGATTACGGGTATGGCCTAAGTGGCGGCAAGGGAGCGGCACGTGCGCTCCTTATCTATGTCTCTCGACACTTTCAATATTCGATTTCGTCGCGGGCGCGGTTTTGTTTAACTTTTTTTTTACACCGCCTGTACTCGCGCGTACCAAAAATAAAATATGATTTTTGTAGCTATTTCAAGTTTAGTGACGCTAACAATTAGTTACAATACCTATAGTCGATGAATTTATTATTTACTTTTTGTGTCCTCATATCTTACAAGGCTCTTAATTGGAAATTAGAGAGGCAATGTCTATAGGGTCCGAGGACTTGCATACTAAGAATAGAGTTTGGTAAAATGTAGTAAAATCATTTTTTTAAGTTAATGTGACATAATTAACTGCCTAATTACTTCATCCAATCCATCAGTAAGTAATATATTTGTACGAAGTTCCATCTAAATTAGATAAAAGCTATAATTATATTAAAATAAAATAAATTGTTATGTATCTGTGTGCAAGCATACGTAATGTGTTTTCCATAATTGATACCTAATCCTTTTTACACTTGATATGATTTATTCCCCATTCGTACTACTTATATACATTTTATCCAGATTAACACTTAATTTAGGTGTTGAACAAGTTGTACTTGATTGTAATTAAGATTACTGGATCAATATCTAATTTCTAGGTCACGAGCAAACATATTTTAGGAAATACGCAATGAACCTCTCCAAACCCTTTTATCATAACGTCACAACCGAGAAAAAAATAGTAAGAACATAACAATCGCACCCCAAAAGCGTAACCGAAAACGGGACTCACCGCAATCCAAGCTAATGGAGTGTCTCATAATGACGGTTGCTGACATAAAAATAAATAGGCGAGAGTCAGTTTCTGCGTAAGCCGATACTATGATAACAGCATCGCTCCCCCGATAATTGCCAAACTTGTGGAAGCCTGACGCACTCGTACCTACCAATGTAGTGCGGATTATGGTACCAATGTAATTGATCTTACTCAGAGACGCCAATTAGAAGCTCTGATAGTGGTATTGCGCTAAGATGCGCAGTTAGTTTTATTTTATTCTGACAAAGTATTATCGACTTAGATGAATCACAGTCAGCTAGTAAGTATTCCTTAAATCGGAATATCGTCATCAGTTTTCCTTTTCTTTTAGTAGTAAATCTTTGAGTAACATAGTTTAATTAAGTCAATCCATTAATTTATTTAGCACACTCTTACCTTCTCATAGGCAGTTTCGATTCCGTAGTTGTTTTTAATTTACAAAAAGAGTATTCAATCGGGGTTACTATTAGGAAGGTATCTTTATCAGTTGTCTACTAGTGTTATATATGTATTTGATTTACTTGACTCCAAATAAATATACAGTTGGCAATCCTATAGGGTTAGTATATCTTCTATTCAATCTCTATATACAGTTAGTATACTTTAATTACTATGTTTATAATTTTATGATACGCGGTGTAATACAATAATGCCCTAAAGTTTTAGGTGCAGTAACACGACATAGGCTTAACCGCAAAGATTTAGGTGACAAACTTTATTGCGTCCAAGAATATACTGTTGTCTATTACGGGAACATAAATCACGGATGGGAAAACAATAAGCGTGAAATTGTGGAAACTGCGGCCGACGTCTTCGGTATTAAATCTTGGGGGAGTGAAATAAATAAAAATAAATCTGCGGCAACCCTCACGCGAGAACTTGATTTATTTGATAAGTGTTACATAGAAAATGCTATTTGGAACATTTTGCTTGGCTAATTGATTTTAATTATTAATGACAGAAAACAAGAGCAACTGATCTAAAATGCTGTTTGCCAGATTTTATTTGACAGTATTTTTTTTTACATTATTTATAGTTTTCGTTCCGTGCGTTCTGATTTGCTTGACTAGTTTTGTTGAAAATGAATCTTCTATCTGAGATACTTATGATGGATACTTCTATCAAATACGTCACGTTAATGTTAGTTATAGTTATAATTATGTCATGGAATTAAGTTCATGATATTTGAAATCTTTAGCAACTTTTATTTAAGCATATAGCAGTTATTTATTTTTGATTACATGGAAAATTAACATCTATAAATATAACAAGTAAATTTACATAATCCTATTATGAATGATTAAAGTAGAAATTTAGATCCCCTGTTCATCATAATTGGTCACAGTAGCTAGTTCACATCAGTTGCTGGCCTTAAGACACAGTTATCTTTTATTTTTATTTATTAATAACTTATTGTACTTGCCATATCTTGCTTGCGCAGCTTACCTATAAAAAGCCTAATAAGTTGCTTGAGCACCTGCTTACACCGTTTTGCGGTCTGTTGCCAATGGGCAAAATAAAACTGTTATCATTTTGCCGCATTACGCTGTCTGTGTATATGTCACAGCTATGACAGTTTAAATGCTGACTGTCACCAATATAACTTTGTAGATGCCGTAATTCTTTTTTAATATATTTTAAATTATTAATTATACATGCGTTTGAAACTTTTTGATATTAAATGTTGTTTTTATATAATTTTTCGCTATTTATGAATATAAAAAATTAAACAGTAGCTGATATATTTCCTTTTTTAAAGTGCTTATGACAATCAGAATTAAATGGTTAGAGATAGCAGAAGTATTTAACGTTGCCTACATATATTATAATTTAGTAAATGCTCTGATTTGTTAGTTTGTAGTTAATAAATTTATGCCTTCAAACTTATCTATGGAATCTCTTTAATACTATTTCAATATTTCAATACTTTTTTCGTTCATTCACGTCATGGATACAATGAAATCCGTATAAAATAATTGTATTGATTTTCCTTTATTGACTCTTTCAATTGTCATTAATTCATTCATTCAGAATATTTTACATTTATCTACACACTTAAAGAGCTTTTTTATTCAGTAATTTCTTATATTAATTAATTAATTTCTAAGTAATATAGTTTTCCTTAGGAGATGAACTTTAATACTTTTTCTAGTTTATAACAATAATAACTTCTCGTTAAACACTTCTCATTAATGGATATTTTACATACATTACAGTATATATTTTCATATTGCCTGTTTCTTCTTGTCCGAGTAATCAGTGTGAGTTAAGATACAATAATTAATTAATATCCGATTTTTAATCTACGATACAGTTCATCTCTACACGAAATTACATTCAGAATTTTTAAGGTAATAATTATAGTAGCCAAATAAATTGAAAATAAATATCCAATCATTGTAGACGGAACGCCCATGTAGTTTACTATGATTAGCCGCATGACATAATTACTGACTCTTAGACTTTTGTTTTTTACGTTTTGTCAATATGAACATGCGTTTTATGAAATCTATTTTCAAGACCTATTTATACTAATGGTCGGGTTAAAAAGTTCGTTTTGACAGATATTAAATTGTTGTACAATTGTGTTGAACTTCATTCATAGTATTATTATATTATATTCATAGTATGAATTTATAATTTATTTCTATTGTCAAAACGGACTTTTTAAAACTGGCGTGCTATAGGATGTGTTAGCCGTTTATAAGGTAAGTGTATCGTCTTAAACGGCAGTAACGTGCTACTATGTCCACAGCTCCAGACCGGGCCGACCACCGAAGCGCGCGTCCGGGGTGGGCCTCTCACTAGCCGCTACGCAGTTCCCCGGACACCCTTTCAAGAAGCACCGACTCGAGAATGGGGACTACTCGCCGTATGAAAATGGACATATGAGCGGTGAGTTGTTTAATAAATGATTAGAAAAATTGCACTGTACTTATGTTTAATCATTTTTATGACTTGGGATGATAAATAATTTTTATGTTATTGAAAGCATACAAGCTGAGAATCCACTTAATGAAAATCAAGACTTGTTATCAGCACCTCAGACATCGTTCAGATTTACCATGGTACCTCTCATAGCTCCATATTTTAGGAAATCAATGTTACACTCACTTACCGTCACTGATTTCAATCGAAACACATTTTCGATATTTGCAGCCAAAAATATGTAAAATATGTATGTTTATAGCACAGGAATGAGTAAGTAGACTACTATACAAAGTCCACATCGGTCCCACTAAGCTCGCTTTTAAATTTGTACTAAACATTAATCAGAAATGTCTTTTAAAACAAATCTCATACCACAAATGACGTCATTGTTTATTAAAGAAACGTTTACGGGGATTAATATGATGTAAATTAAAATAAGCAATATCATGACACGCGATAACATCAAAATTGTACTCTGTAAGCTCCGGATAGACCCCGGATATGAATCCCGTCTCGGGAGGTATGCCTGCTCATTTCATATACAAATTACACAAATACAAAATTATCTCAACACAAACGGAGAAAAGGGAATAAAGTGATTAAATAGAGCTCAGCGCAAGACGGCTAGCAATCAATCATTTTTGTCGCTTACGGCTTTGTTGATTTAGATATCCCTCATCTCTTTTACTCCACTGTGTTTTGCATACTCGTCTCATTCTGGCCTAAAGTGTCGTGCCAGACAAGGGAGCAATTACATTCGTGATCTTGCATAAGCGGCACTTGCTTATCGCGTACTGCCGCATTTGACTTTGAGTGTAGTGTTGCTTTTTTCCCCTAAATTTGCAATTCGAAACGCTTGTGACAGAAAAATTGTCGCTTTGTTTTGTTATTGTATGAACTTATTTTTAAAAACAAAATAATAAATAAAGTCTCATCTTATATAATTATTGTCCTTAAAATTGATATTCATAACCTTTTAAAGCTCTTGTCATTACCTGTCTTCCTTGAGTGAGCATTACTTATTATTGTATTAGAAACACGTCTATGCTCAGTTGGTTTTAATTATTTTACAATTAGACGGAAGATGGATGAGTCTCGTAAGGGGATCGTTTTGAGATTTGAAACTTACGATCAATCTTTAACCATGGCTTAACCGATTTGGTACTTGTTCAAATTTGGACATATTATATATTTTTGATAAAAGAAATCTTCTTAATGGCAGGTCTACACTAACAAGAAATTTTATGATGGAAGTATATTTAATAAATTAGATAAATTAAGTATCCATTATTAGAAGTAGACATTATTTACTTATTAAGTATATCTTCTATATGTCTTTAATGAATAAGCACCTCTATTAAAATATATAATAACGTCACATATTATTTATCATCGCCAATTTTAAAGCCATTTTAATTAAATTCGTGCACGTATCAAGTTGCTACGCTCCGTGTCTATACGGGCTTCAGAGTTAAGCCAATATTATTTTGACGAGTCGTTGACAGTGGTTTACAGTTGATGAAACAAACGCACACACAAACATCGCAGTTCTGGAAGGTAATCTCACACAAATCTAATCTATATACGTCACACATACGTGACAGAGGTTCCTCTGTTTGAGTGAACAAGGAGGCGGGTGGCCCATTTTCACCCCGTGAAATAATAGGATACGAAAACATCGGAGGCAGAATATAATCCTCCTACGAAGGTTGAACGGAATGGAAATAGGAATATGAAATGCGTGAAAGGGATGTCGGCCCACGTGCTCGTTGAAAGGGTTACCGATGTTTATCTTTAGAAGGTAAATCAAAATCATTGTTCATTTCGTGTTGAGCCTTACGTTTGCTGTATGATCTTTGACAGAAAGTAATTCATTTTTTGTTTCAAATGTGTCATCAACCTTATTTTAGGCGTAAAAGGCTATAATTAAAATGTTAAGGTTTTATAAATGCTTTTTGATGTGGTATTAATTTAATTGATGCGATTAGAATAATCGAAAACTGTTTCAGATAAGTATGTAATAATTAAAGATAAATATACATTATTATTACAATAGTTTTTTTTAAATTCATTATTTTCCATGAATGCACAAGCTATAAGTAACATTTACAATTAATGTAAAAAAATATATGGCCGTTTTATGAGTTAGAGACAACCCTAAATTTCGTGAACTGGTATGAAAATGATGTGTTGATAATAATTAAAGGTTCCGTGGTACTGTCGCTGCTCGGATGTTATAACGGGGGGATAATGCAAGGCATTATAACATTACTCGCTGGGGTATAAACCTTTACATTCTGATTGAATTCTGCGACTGAAATTAAGTAAGGATTTGCCTGTTTATGTTAAGGGCGAGGGATGTGATGGATCAGTCAATTTGCAAATCTGTGTTCTATTCTCGCCTTTGTTCTTATGTTGTTAACATGATTGTAATGTGTAATTATGACTGTAACAAAGCGTTCACTTTATACTGTTATTATGGCCACAAATATTTTTAGTTACTTTTCTGTTTAAGTAAGCAAATTGCTGTTATGAAATATATTATTTTAATTTACAACTATGTTAGTTAGCGGTTGTATTTTCATCAGTATTGTTTTAGTCTTTATCTATTCGTATAGGTCAGTGATATATAATGAAATGTTTCCACTTTACAAACTGTTTATTATTATCACCGTTACATAATTCAGAACGTTATGTTTCCTACATCATGTTTAATAAACAAGTACTTATTCGTTTTTACTTCCATAATCACGTAATTATCAGTAAAAGCTCAACAACTAACGTCATTATCTCAGGTGGCTTTTTACATAAAATGTGGCTATTACACATTTATCGTGTCGCAAAAACCTATGGCACAGTGATTTCAAAGTGATTTTTTTCTTACTTTACATACGTAAGAACACAGAACTGCATTCATAGCTCTTTCTTATTGGCATTGCGTTTATAATTGAAATGGTGGAACATCAACGACGTATGTAGTAGTTATACTTAGTGAAACAAATTACTCGCATTGCGACTTATAAGGAAACGCAATACAAATCGCGGTGGCAACAAATTAAACACAGTGGCGATGCGTAACGGATTAAAATACATTATTGCGAATTCTAACCAACTGTATTTTGATTGTTGCTAATTTTATAGAATACCACCACTATTTATTGATTCTCATACAAAATTATAATTTATAATACGCATGTTAACAACTTCCAATTTCAAGTATTTACCTACTCAGCTTACTATTATTACAGCCTCGGTGGTCTGGTAGTTTTGCACACTGCTTTACTTCCGATGGTCGCAGGTTGGATTCCTCGCACAGTGCAAATATTTGTATAAATGGGTATGATTGTTTGTAACGGTCTGGGTGTTTTCTATGTATATTATGTATGCAGTACCATCAACACAAGTTCTGTTTACTGTAGGACTAGATGGCGTTGTGTTAATTATCTAAGGTTATATATTTATTTATTATAATATTACTAAAGTTTGAGGCAAAAGCAATTTAATTAAGCAGCTAAAAATATAAATTAACATAACATAAATGCGTCTATAATTTTATTGCAATTTTTATTCCTACTCATTCTCATAAGCCAACAGATTCAGAATCATGGAATCCGGCATGAAAGCAGGAGATGAGTTTTACAAATGGGTGAAGTAAGATGATAGATATTTTTGGTAGTCTGTAGTCTGCCTCTCCCTTATGCGGTCTTTTTATATCATTGGCAAAAAACTTATCACCGTACCTGATGTAGAGTGGCTATCCTGACCTATATCCTGGCGTGAAATCAGTAATAGTGCTGCTGTCAGCTGTAATGTATCCACATAAATAAGCATACTATATACACACATACATATATGACTACGTATCTTTACGACGTCAATAAATAAAGGATTGTGTATTATACTATAATAATATATATTCTTTATTGCAATTTGAAATACAGTAGTAAACTTCATTATATACAAAGTGAGCAAAGGTGTACTTATCTCTAAAAGAGATCTCTACCTGTCAACCTAACTGTGGCATGGCTGGTAATGAGTGGGTACCACTAGTGCATCTAACAATATAATGTTGAAATGTCCATTAATTAAAGATTCAACAAATTAAATAATGTTTTAAATTTAATATAATATATTTTTATTGACACCAATTTAAGTAGTTACAGTTAGTTATTCTTCTTATAAACTATTATATTTTTGTTAAATACGCATTATATGGTACATCGAATTTACCAGTAGCATCTATACTAGGCCGAGCCTGTATCATAGATGCTATTTTCTTCCAGCGACAAATAGGTAAAAATGAGTAAAATGAGATGTATTTTATTATAATGATTATAATAATTTAAACTGATTATAATAAAATATACACAAATAAAGGACACATGTACATATATATAGTACATAAATATTATGTAATGTGTATGAATGAAATGTATAATATCGTTCTTTTTGTGTCAAGTTCGTCGATGGATTTAATAGCCCATAATGTAATTGAAGTAATTATGATGTAAGTGTTAATTATGGAATCAACAATTCTAAAATGACATTACACTTATATTTATTGACGACCTTTATACAATATCAATCAACGTAATAAATTAACTGTTAACTCTGTTACAAATACACTTTTAGTTCACCTGTTTTTAATTGAAGGAGCATAGTTTCATTCGTTGGGGATCTGCAGAACTTGAAACGTATTTTGAATTCAAGTCTAGTTCCGTACATATTTTATTGATAATATTAATAACCTGGCAATCCACACAGCGCCATCTAGTCTTTAGCTAAGAAGAGCTGTTATTTGTTTTAGAGATACAAAATTGATATAAATACTATTTATTTTTTAAATATACGCTTAAAATAGTCAGACTAATATGAATTTGAACTTGTGTGTGCCGTCATAATTGATTTGGTAATTTTATTAATTAAAATAAACACTCTCCTTAAAATATTGACTAGTGTATTAT